TATTTACTTACCCTCCCTTTCGTATAGGTATCCCCATTAGCACCAGAAAAAGATTATAATTCATTATTAATGTATCGTGATATAAAGAGAATTTTTTCTGTCATTTTGTGTTTCAAATTAATGTAAGTTATCAAAATCATCCAATGTGTTTCTATTTATTTTGGAATCAATATTGCTCAAAATGTTGTGCAAGAAATAGTCTTTTGCAGCAGACACTTTTACGATGCAGTTAGAATCAGTTGACAAATGTTAAGATGATGCCCGAGCTGTATATCTTTATATATGTCTCGTTTATCTAGAATTTACGAGTTATCCACCTGGGCAATTTTCAGCGAGGAATTCAATAATCTGACCTTAATCCCATTAGAGTTCTGTAATGGAGTGCAGAAATTAAGAACTGTGTACACAATTGAAATTATCAGATCTAAAGGAAAGTGACTTGTGCTTGTATGATGATAAATGTGTAGCATTTGTTTAAAATATTTTTACAAATTAAGTAATAAATCACCATTTGAAAATATTTCATAAAATATCATATCTTTCTCTCCCCATGATGACATATGCTGAGGACTTACATATACATTTAACCACGATATGTACCTGGCCACATATCTTCAAGAATGAAGTGATTTTCTGATGATATGTATAAAGAATGCTTATGTGATATTATAAACTATAAAAAGCACATTATAATTAATGAAGAAATACAACTTCCATCACAGTTTAAACCCTAAATTAATACGTTTGTATTCTATCCCTGTAATACGAGAAGACATGAGAATAGAAATATCTTAACTAACAAAGATACTTTTACAATAAAATTATGAATATCAAAAATAAAGGTTGAAAACCGGGAGTATGAGGACTTACATACATGAACGTAAATATGACTGGTATGTTGGATAAATCCAAGGAAGCGTTTATTGTTTTAAATATATCTTCATGTTGGAATAAAAAGATATTTTTGTTGGATATAAACTAGTAAGTAGTGATTATGTTTCGTTAAATCAACTCACTTCATACAAGGGCTAAAGTCGTCGAGTTCATCGTCGTTTTGTTAGGTAAAAAGTGATTCAGTCAATGGCTATTGTCCAAATATTTAATGGTGAACAAGGAATTGATCGCTTTCAACGATATTTTTTATATAATGCATAAACATTATGTACATTCATTCAAATCATAGCTAAATATCGTTATCACGAACAGAGACACCTTCATGAACAATCAACAATTTAAATAGGGATATATGTACGTCACTTCCGGTTTGAGATCACACCTGCATAATGGTTTTGCAACTCTTACATCTGTGTGATACCGGTCTTTGTTAGGGTATTACTAAGGCAATACCGATAATCTAATGCTTGAATTATGAGAAATAGCTGACTTTAGTATTGTTATACACGATCACATATACAAAAAGGGGCGAGAATATACCTTTAAGAGGCTTGTGTGCTTTTATGTTAGTTTAGACATGGCAAAATAGTTTTCAAATTAAATACATTTCTAGTTGATGCATTAAATTTTGAGAAAGACTGTATTTCTTAACGTTTTTTTTTTACATTTTTTTGCAAAAGGTTTTATGTGTCATTGAAGGGCTATCCCTGTTAATAGTCAATGTAAAAAGAAACAATACAATTTTTGTACGATTTAATTTTAGTCGAGAAAATATATTCCTCTTCAAACAGCTGCATTTTCAATGGATCAGACATTGCATCATTCGAATTAATCAATAAAAGTTTTAAAGATGCCAAGAAGTGTTCGTGACAAGCATTTCTTTTTGTTTTTATATCTTCGTTGTTGTCATAGAAACATGTCTATAATAATTGTTTTAGATCATGTGAAGGTGATATGAGGATATACAATTCCTTGAAGTGTCGGAAAAATATCTTACACAATATCTTACACACTCACATTTAAAACCTTAACACGATATAATATTTAAAAGTTTTGGATTTTTATTTAAGAAATGTTGTAGGCTTTGATATACTATTGTGTGTACCAGTACTATATTGTTTAGTTGTGTCGGCCTCGAAACAGATCTTGAAAGTCGCGTTTATCTTTATTTGTTAAAGTCATAATTTTGTGGCAATATGTATCTATATGTTTTAAAGTTGTTTAGTATTTGAGTAAACCGATTGACCTGACACTATAAATAATTGTGATTCAATCGTTCGTGAACATAACTTTTTTGTTACAATTATGTACGGAAGCGTATCAGGGCCTACAGTTGGTGAGATGTTTTGCGCTAAGTCAACTTATTTTTATTCGCATTGATAAGATGTTTTTGCATTTCTCAATAAAATTTACTGACAAAGATGAGAAGCTTTTAGGCATTGCAAGTAATTTTTTTTCGATATGCTTGAAGCTTTTGTCTCTTCGATCAACATCCTGTCGAAACTTCTTGATTTCACGACTTTGCTGAAATATTTAGTACGACGCAAAGACATTACTCGCATTGACAAATAGCTCACGTAATTCAACAAAGTTTTTGCAATGATTTAAAACTTCTACGTATTACGTATTAATCATTACGTCTTCATGGAATGTTTTATGTATTACGTATTAATCATAACGTCTTCATTGAATGTTTTTGGTTAAAGCGAGAAGAAACAAGTTGACATGACGTGAAACTTTTAGATAAGTGGAGGCCCTGATAAGCTTCAGTAATTATGCTATCATTTTGAGTTATTTTATTAGCTATAAGTCGATATGCATGATATATCAAAGTAATTAATTGATAAATGAGCTTACATTATTACTATGAGCTACAAAATAATCGTCATTATTCTGTCTATCATTATGTCACAGGTCCATTGATTTGCTACGTTAAGTGTTCAGTTTGCCGTGCGTTGTTTGTCATTAATACGGGGGGGGGGGGGAATTATGATTATTGTATGCACATGCGACAATTGTCGTTTGTTTCCGTGACGATTTATTTTCTGATAAACGAGTTCTCTTAAGTGTAAATAAAAAATTTAAGTCTGGAGAGACAATGTTTAAACATATACCAACTTTTTACACAAGTTTTGCAGTTACCTGTTCAAACTAGATGATTTTGTAATTTTATACAATATCGCTTTAATTTTATTTTATCTAAAGATCATATTAACTATGCAGATATAATCATAATAATCAATCCCTAATGCGATACATATTTATACTGATGTTCGTGAAAGAAGCATACCGCAAAGTCTAAAGAAATATCTTGTTTTGTCCCGCTACCATTGCGTTTCCACAAGTAAAGAACAAAACTACCAAAAAGTGTAGTGCCACTTTGTTTTACTTACAAAGAGGAAATAGTTTTTTACTACACATGGAAGCAGAGTCTGTCAATTACAATCAAATCTACATGTATATGTTTTTCTCATGCTTTTGAATTCTTAATAAACCGACTGAAATATTCCTGAATTCTAAAACTTTGATTCTTTAATGAAAATAAAAAAACTAAGCTTTTACATTTTGTTTTGAAATCAAAATAACTTTATGTAGATAGTATTATTATTATTATAAAAAAGTTCGCTTAGGACAAATGGGCATAATTTCTTAACAATGTTGTATAGAGTTGAAGTTTTTAACCTTTGATTATTCTGACCGTTGCCTTTCGCCTATGTTAAGTTTAAAATCTCGCATCAGCAGTATTGATGAACATGTAATTATATACATGCAAGTACAAAATGTCTATTTGCTATGGTTTTTGGTTTGCCTTGATTTAGGCAATCTTGACCGTTTCATCCATTTGTTCAAACAGTGAATGGTTGTTTGTTGCATTAAAATATTAATACTTCCAATCAATATTTCCATTTTAGAATTTTTAAAACAATTTTAAATGTTCATGTAACAATACTAATTATTGGAATGAAAATCTTTTTCTAATTTCAGATGTTATATACACCATTTTAATTGTATATAACATGATGCTCAAAGAGAGACGTGAAATAAGCATTATCTTATGTTGCATTGTATATATTATGGGCCGGTGGCCTTGTTTAATAGTTATGATACTAGGCATCAACATTTGAAGGTCGTCTCTCTTTATTTTTACGTGTTATTGTTATTGACTTGTTAAAAAAACTACAAATACAATTATACATCTTGTCCGTACTTACAATGGAAAGGAAACTAAAATAGCAATTTTTAGCAAAAATATTTACATCAGGTAGTTCATGAGGAATGATAAACAAACTTTTAAATAAAGGCTTTCAACTGATAAACCGCGTGTAGCATAATAGTTACATCCAAAGGTCAAGCACCTTAAGACTGTCAAGGTACTTAATATTTACCGACATCTGCTGGGCAAGTCATTTTTAAATATATATCAAGGCTTACAGATTGCCATAAAATAATTTAAAAGTAATGTATTTTACAGCAGTAATTATCTTGTGTGGACTTTATCTCAGTGCATGCGCGCATGATAACAAAACTGAAGCTCAGAATTTATCGGCGGACGATACCATAAATAAACTATTAGACCATGCTACGTATGATCTTCAAGACGTAGGAATTGCTATGCTACTGAACGAACTTAAAGGTAGTGCTTTAATATATATTTTTATACTCAAACAATGACGTTTTGTAATGTTAAAGTTTTTTTTTATTTGCCTGTACTTGAAATAAATAGTATGTTAAGTGTTGTCGACAAAAGACAATGCTCGAATTTTATTGGTAATTTCTTTAACATTCTTTGATTTTATTTAGTATTTTCAATTCAATTAATATCAACGTATCTTTATATATATTTTTAAACTTAAAATGTTATAGGTTTTTTCACGGCAAACAAATCAGCTGTTGTATTTTTTTACGAAATGTATCAATGGAACTAATCGCCTTGAATAAAGTTCATTGTTAGTTTAAACATGAAAATAAAATCCGTTCCAATTTTTATCTTAAGGATAGGAAATGTTTTATAATAGTAAGTATCGCATCGTACAGTAAATATGTTAGTAAAAATAGATGACATTACACGTTACTAAAAAATTGATTAAACTTTCTTTGGTTTACAGATGCCAGATCGCGTGAACGTAATAATAAACACGAGTCTACCCATCCTGAAATAACAAGCATGTACACACGTTGGGGACGTAGAACATGTCCTGCTTGGGCATCCTTAGTTTATGAAGGGTTTGCAGCTGGGGGAGAACACATGTCAACTGGGGCAGCTGCAAATTATTTATGTCTTCCACAAAGTCCAGACTGGGATAATAAAAGCAATAACCCACAGTACGTAGGTCTGATATACGGGGCAGAATATGAACTCTACAAAAGTATGTTTGAAGGAATTACTAACCATGATGTTCCCTGCGCTGTTTGTCAAGTCCCAAGAAGCAGCGTTATAATGGTACCTGCGAAGAATACCTGTTTCAAACATTTCGTTACAGAATACAACGGTTATCTTATGGCTGGACATCCTACCCATAAAGCAGCTTCCGAGTACGTTTGTGTTGATGGTGAACCTGAACCAGCTAGCAAATCTCTTGCTACCAATCACAACGGGGCACTGTTTTACTTTGTTCGAGCTAAGTGTGGTGCGCTTAAATGCCCTCCATATAAAGAGGGTGACGACCTTACATGTGTTGTATGTTCTTATTCTCCCAAGTAATTTTTAATTGTGACAGTTATAACAATTATGTATGATTGATGCAACGATTATCGATTAGGACAATTTTCTGTTGTTTCCGTCATAGTTTCTATTGTGAATAATAAATAAACAAGGCTGCACGGGAATTCGGTTTACAGTTCAGGTGTTTTAAGATGAACTTGCAAATTGGCAATAGCATTTGCATTTTGATATTAAACATACACATACTAACCTTGTCACATTATTAATTGTCTATTGAATATATACATTCGTCTCAGTGAATGCATTAAGTAATTTTAAAACATTATTATCATATACCCAACCGATATTTCTATCCGATGATTAAAACATTGCATTTTTGGCCAATTCTAGTTAATGTACGAATTGAATATGTTCAAGAATTTCATTCGACATTTGCATTTTATTTTACCTGGTAAAAATGAATTCATTTTTTGGAAAATATTGTTCATTTTTGTACCTAATGTTTATTATTAAAGTTTAGCAGTTAATGTTAAATCTATTTTTTATACAGTAAAACATTATATTCTTATCATTAAAAAAGCAAGCTTTTATTCAACATGGATTGTTTTGGATTAGCAATAAAATTTGCATTTTGGTATAAAACGTATACATACTAACCTGGTCACATGTATAAATGTCTTCTTTTTAATGTAACTAAATATAAGAAAACAGAGTTTAGAATTCGTTCTTATGTCGTTAATATTCCAACACCAGCTTATTATGAATAAAACATCACAAATATTCAATGACCTACATTGTAAATGAAATAAAAAGTTAACGTATTGCGACAAATTGTAAAAGCTAATGAGTGTTATTATACTTTTAAAATACTCTGTGTTTTTTTTTGGATAACATTTGTCTTGTACTATTTTGAGTTAGACGCATGATTTACTGCGGGGTAACACGATTAAGTGTCGAGTATTAAAAATTATTGCAAAGTAAATTTAAACATACACATATATATGCCAAACACTTCCGTACCCATTTTCCTTTTCAGTTAAATGCAAAAATTGGTAATTTACAATTTTATGTCCATGTGACGAATATTTTTTTATCTCCGTCAAGAAATAATGTAGTTTTCATCTAGTGGATCTAAATTGGGGTAGCTTTTTGAGACTAAACATATGGTACCAGACTAAAAAGCACAGAAAATGATGGAGCATCGGATTCAGCTTAAAACACGTTGACCATGTATTAAAACGTATACTATTTTGTATTTCACAACACTGCACCCCACAGGGACCGTATATGGTTAATGTTTATTACAGATTGAGGTTAGCAATGATCCCTTTATACCAGTGCACTGTATTATGTGTGAGAATGCTTGCTGCTATGATATGCAGATAACATAATTCTAAAAATAGATTTTACCCAATCACCATTGCATTATACATGAATATTAACTTTGTTTACACGCAATATTTTAAGAAATTTTATACAATTATAGGAAGAAAACAAGTTGAAAATCGAATTAAGTGTATAACGGAAAGGGACAACAAAACATTGTTATGGTACTTATTGAAGTGACTCGAGATACTCTGACAGGCTAGGAATGGAACATTTTTATAAGATTTCGCAAAATCAAAGGGAGCTGAAGAAATGCACTTGCTTCATTCATCTTAACTTTTCTCAGGTAACATTATACTTATCCCGTTCCATTTAACCAAATCCTTTGCAGGCATTATACTCGTAGATCCTCGCTTGTATCTTGTTAGATTTCATAAACAATGATATTATTGTAATAATTTACTTCAATTAATTGTTAAACTAGTTTTAGAATGTTATAACTTCAAGAATTAGACCGCGTCTTCACCAAGTCAATTTACATACATGTCACATTTAGATAAGCTTCCAAATTACCCTTTCAACATATAAGGCAAAATATTTACTGACATAGTTAGAGGATTAGATATGAAGTAATATGAAACAATATTTTCACAATTCTAAATTAACTCAAGTACTGCAATCGGGTTCCTCAAATAAGTAAAAGTTTAAAAACACCCTTATCTGCATGGCCGTATCACATCGTTACACGGTAAATTCTGTTTAAATGCTTAATGATAATTCAATGTTTCATTATACAAGGGTTGTCCAAAAATTCGTGCACTGCAGTTATTGTCGTTTGAGTTATTGATAGAAAAACATTAATTATATATCACTTGAAGAGGAGATATATCTTAAATAAGAAAACAAAAGAAAAAAACATGTAACCGGCATGTCCTGAAAGCGAATTGTCATACAGTTACCTTGGTAACGTAATATCGGCGCACGACAAAAAATCATCACGGTATTCTTTAAACACTACATATTAACGTTAAAATTCAGGGAAAAGTGTGTGTACGTATTCCTAACGTCACTAGAAAATATGGCGTCATTTGCGCTATTGTAAAAGTCGTAAACAAACATTTGTGTGTGGTCGTCAATACTGTAATTACGTGAAAATGTCAGTCGCTAAACGTCTGGAAATACGGACGATCATTAAATTTGGTGCAAATATTGGTAAAACACCAACAGATACCTACAACGAACTTAAAAGGGCAAGTGGGACAAGTTCAGTGTCATGAAGGCTGGTTTTTAAATGGCACAAACGCTCTGTGGAAGAGAAAGAGAGTCGGTAGACGATGACAACCGGTCAGACAGACGTCCGTCCGTAATGCCGGCGCATGTGACGAGGGTAGTCCAATATATTCCTGCACTGGTGGAATATGCTACATGTACGTTGCATAAAAACAATAAAAACTACACAATACTTTGCATCAATCATACCTCTATTGACAGTGAAACAAATTATAACATAAAAAGCAAATACTACTTTAAAAGCAACACACAATTAATACAATTACAGTAATGAACTAACCCAATTTTTTGTCGTGCGCCGGTATTATATGCTCTAAACATATTATTGGATTATTTTTGAACACAAAGTTGGCATTTCTATTTGAGATTAAAAACAATTTTTTCTCAGTGATAATGTGTTTTTAACAATCAATGATAAAATATTAATTTTGTTTATTCCTACAGAAGGGTAAGGTGACCTTCAGATAAGAAATATTCTGCGCATGTTTAAAAATCACATATCTATGGTTGCTGATTTAATCCAATCGTGTTTTCGCCCCACGACCCCGCTAAGCGAAAAGTCGAGAATTAACAAGTTAAAATGCGGGGTTGCGGAGCGAAAACACGATAATTAGCAGGGGCGCGCGGCGAAGTTTAACAAATAAAACTTAGCCCCGCAAGATCGCAGGGCGAGAATTAAGAAATAAAACGGCGGGGGCGCGGGGCGAAATTTAATAACATAAATCTTCGCCCCGCGCCCCGCTAATTAGCGAGTTTTTCTCCCGCCACCCCGCCAAGCGAAAATTCGAGAATTAACAAGTAAAAATTGCGGGGTCGTGGAGCGAAAACACGATTATTAGCGGGGGGCGCGGCGAAGTTTAACAAATAAAACTTCGCCCCGCGAGATCGCAGGGCGAGAATTAAGAAATAAAACGGCGGGGGCGAGGGGCGAAATTTAATAAAATAAAACTTCGCCCGCGCCCCCGCTAATTAGTAAGTTTTTCGTCCCGAGACCCCGCCAAGCGAAAAGTCGAGAATTAACAAGTTAAAATGGCGGGGGCGCGGGGCGAAAACACAAATGGCACAAATCAGCCACCATACATATCTGAATATATCACTGCGTAGATTATGGACTTCTTATTAGAAGTTTCTCTAATAAAAACATTCGGGAAAATTAGATAATACATGTATAAACTTAAATTGTAAACAAAAATAACTCAAAAGGTGTTTAAATTTTAATGAAAGTCAGTTAGAGCCAAATGTTTCTAACTTGGGATGTGCTCATTTTTTACATATTAACATCTTTCATATTCAATTTAATGCAATACTAATAACATAGTTTCAAATGTTTTCAAATTCAAAGAGTGTGCATGGCCCTTAGGTTTTGTATGAAAATAGTTACGTTCAAAATGTGTCAATATTGTTCAGTAAGTAAGCCTAAAATTGTAGATGGATATTTACAATTGTAAAAGACAGATAGCATTTAGATATATTTCTTTCTTATATTTGTTAAATTTATTTGAAGTTACGATTTGTATACATTTTTACTATTGTCTCTTTTTTTGTAAAATTATTAAAATTACTTATGATCGAAGAACATTTGTATAATTATGATTAATTTAGATTTTTATTTTACCATCAACATGGCTTACGATGATATGACAGTTATACATAATTATCTGATAGCGTTTAGATAACTTAATAAATGCAAAATAGCACATCATGCTAGTAACCATTTTGAAATATATTAAATGCATAATTATTTCAATAACGCCCTGACTTCAATTTTTAACAGTCTTTTGTTACCAGAATAACGCCAAATACCCTTCTATTACTCCATATTTAGATAAATAATAACACACACTAACTATAATCATTTAATAAACATCTTTAAGCTATAAATACATAATTATTGAAGTGCATTCTTCATAATTGTATTAAATGGAAAACAATTAAAAATTGGATCGATTCGTTCGCCCTGCGGCACCGCACCGCACAGATATATCTACCTTTTTCTGTATTCATTAACAGTCAATGAAAGTTTTGAACACTACATTATAAACAACTAAATAAATCAAGATCGACTGACTCTTATTGGTATACGAATTTCATCATTTATCATTTCACTGCATATGTTTTGAAGAAGTTTAGGTGCACCAGACGATACAGACAATTATTGTTGGACATGTGTACGATTGATAGCCTACGTGAAGAAAAAACAAACAACGTAACACCAGTTTACCAGAACAAAAGCCTATGTGGCTGTTTTTTGGGGTTTTTTTTTTGGAAGTTGGAAGTAGGTCAACAAATATTGACGTGACAAATCATGGGTATAGAATGCTGAAAATAAAATTGTTGTTTAAATGTCCTCCTTCTAAATATAGAAAATAAGCAATGCAAAATATGTACGTACGAGGTTGATCTATTTAAGATAATATGAAATTTAAATTTACACAAGTTGTCTTAAAACTTATTGTCTATATGTAGACATTGTTCTAAATTGGGCCATAGATGTTTTGTTTTTATTTTTAAACATAGAAACCTCGAAATGTACGATGCTTGAAGTTTTGTTACTTAGATATAGGACAAAAGGATTTGTATAATAAAGTACATATGTATTTGAAACTTTCTTGTGCTTTATGTGTGTATGTGAA